AGCATAATTATAAGGCTACGAAAACCAAACGAATTTTATTTTATAGCGATTATACACTTGTATAAACATATTAATGGGTAGAATATTCAGATTCAGATTCAGATTGACAATAAACCATGCCAAATATTACACACTGGCCCTTTAACTATGTTCTAATAGATACCTACATAAACATCTGCAAACCTGTGAGTAAGTATGTATCATCTGTGTGGGTAATCATATGTGTATCTTAAGATGTGTGTGACATAAGAATAGCATGTGTGTGGGAATCTGTAGATGCTACAAGTGTGTGTTGTGTAGCCCCGACCCTCCGGCTCCTCTCGGTTTACACAGTTAGCACTGTCAGTGCTGTTACTATTGTAAGCACTGTTGGCACTGTTAGCTCCATTAGCTGCTAGCCGCCACCTCCATGTTGAGAGCTGTGTGCAGACATTCTCTGAATTATAGATACGCTCTGAATATTGAATAGAGCTCCTTTAACAAGCTGAGTTCTCAAACAAAATACTAAGTATACACAGACTATACAACAAATCTAGAAGTACGCAGAAAACATGATATTGGGATTCAGACAAAGACTTAAACAAACGATGGTCTTTTTGCTGCCATGGACAATGTGCCTCAACAATAGATGTCTTAAAGAATGATGAGCCGAATTTAAAGCTTTTGATTAAAACTGAAAAAACACATTCCAAAAATGAAAGTGGGAAAAGAGGACCTGCACTGTAATAATCGTTTACTGAGGGCACACAGAGTTAATGAGTACTCTAAATAAAGTATAATGCAAAAACAAACAGTTTATTTTTGCCTTATTTGTGAGATGCTCACTCTCACTGTACTGGGAACAAACTGGTAACTTTGTGTTCTTGGACCTTTATTAAGAACAAAATGTGTCTGAAGTGGCAGATGGGGACCCACTTAGCCATAGATTTCAAATATAGTGCTAAGTCAGGTGGAGCTACAACCAAAGCAGAGAAACAATGCATGGGTAAGAACAGGCTCACTGGCTCCCCCCAGTTCTACTTACCAGTGTCCGCTCTCTGCTTCCTCCAGAAACTGGACCAGGTCACCCGTCTCGAGAGAGAGGTCTCGAGCTTCACGAGACTCATAGGTCAGCTGCACCCGGTAACGACCACTGTCACCCTGCAAAAACAAATGACTGAGTCAAACTGTGCATTTAGCAAGTTCCATTTTGGATGTGGTTCCAGGGTGGATTCATTAAACTCAAAACAAATAGTTTATTTAGCTGATCATTGTTTCTGCTGGTTAAAAGGACAAATGTCACCAGCACCAGATTATATGAGCTGAAGCTAATTAATGCTAATTACCTGGTTAACATGCTTTGCCATTATTCCATCATATATTAACCACATTTCCATCAGACAACTCATGTTTTAAATGTTAATTTCAACAGCAGAACATAGTTCGAGTTTCGCGTCTAGAGTCCGCCCTCATCGCTCCCCGCAGATATGTTTACATGAGATACTGGGTATTGATGATTAAATATTCCCCCCTAGCCAGAGCCTGCAGGAGGATGCTGGGGTGGAGGTGGGGCTGAAAAAGCATGCAGCAGTACTAATGCAGGGCAGCAGCAGCATTGAAAAGGCAAAGGAAGAGCTGGGAAGATTCTGCAGCTTAAACAGACCGCCAGATTGGGAGGGTGTCTTTTGTATATGACATACGGAGAGTGACGAATGACGTGTGTGTATGAATCAGTGCAGCTTGAGTTGACTTCCTGAACTGGCTCGCAGGTGTGGCTCCATATATAGCCATTTATTTGACAGCTGAAGTACTACATGGCGTAGGCACAGACATTTCCAGTTGCCTGTCTCCCAGGTCTGCTAAACTGTACTCAATTTAGGCTCTTATGTCTACTTTTGCAAGTCTTGCTTGTACTTTTTATGGTTGGCTTTGGACGGTGGTGGCCTGTGGCTGCGAGTCACTCAACCAAAAGAGAAAATCAACTCATCAGTCTGTAAACTCCTTCTGACAACTTCTAGCTCACTACTAGGGGTGTAATGATCCATGAGCCTGGTCGATATGCTGATTCAATGATTAGTGATCAAATATCATCAATGCAAAGTGAAAACATCAATCCATATCATCATCGTATCATGGCAAATTTTGTAATATCAAAAAATATTGTATCTTTGTCCGAAGAAGCGATATAATATCGTATCGTGATGAAACTGGTGATTTACACCCCTACAAGCTACTAGCTAGCCTGGTCAGGGATTTTCAACTGAAAACATCAGTAAATATCAAGGGAAGATGGCGAGGAACTGGACTGTGCCAAATCAGTTTCCGATGGGATATCAGGAACTGCAATATCCTTTGAGTCACCGAAACTTGGCTAAATCCTGGACAGTCCCAGTCAACCAGGAGGCTCTTTTATTATATTCTTATTTGACAGAGCTGAGGACTCTGGTGAGAGAAGGAGAGAAGGATATTAAAGGACGTAGCTGTTAAAAACAACATGTAGAAGGTGTTAAAATGTGCTGCAAGTTGCATCCACAGATGGAATTTAACCATTTGTTTTCTGTTGATAAATATTCATTTGCCATCATTGCATGATGCAAAAATGTCTGTTCCTTGATAGAGTGTGTCCATGTGTGCGCCACTAACATGCTCATTGTGTGTGCACTGCTTTTGTGGCTCTCTACTGTACATTACACAGATCATAACAGATCTGGAAAGGCTGCCATACCCAGCAGACCTGTGCAGCTATAATCCTCTCCATCTTTCCTCTCTCCTCCCTCAATTCTTAAATGTCAAGTCGTCAGTGCCCACTGCTAACGAGACACATGTCCAAGCGAAATAATTAGGCAGCGGAGGGGTCCTCTTTCAGGGGGATCAGAGGGAGATTTAGCTGAAAAGAGAAGAATGTAAAGGATGAGTGTAGAGGAAACGAGGGATGAGTGGAGAGCTGTCGAGAGACGGTGAGTGATCGTAGAACGTGATGATTTAAGGTGCCTAGCAGGACTGCATCGGATCGGGTCAAGCTACATTATCACTCGAGCCAAGGTCTGGCAGTGTTGAGTGGTACTGAACTTGGATCTTGTTTTTAATGCTATGAGTGACATCCAGGTTAAACTTTCTTACATTTTCTGGCCAACGTGAGCGTTACCTACATTTTTATTATTGCCTTCCTCTTCTGAAGAGTTGGAAGATTCCTCTGCACTGGACGGGATCGTCTCAAAGTCATCTGTTTCCATGGAAGGGAGTCGCCGTGGCGCCCAGCCTGAGGGAAATCAATGCACATTATTAACCACCAAAATGTATTCATAAACAAATGGGGTATTGCTGCTCCACTTGGCAGGTGATGGTGCTACATTGACAGGAAAACAATGGCCTCGTTAAGTAATTTGTCTTACATCATCATGAAAGCTTGATGAGTCTGTTTGCAATAATTAAACCTTTAGCCAAGCTTTTCACACAGACTGTAATACTGCTAACAGATCCAAACAGCGTGAGAGAGACATGGCCCAGCACAATTTATGGAGTTTTTATGGAAAATTCCTAATTTCTGAATAAAGAGTTTATGCCACAATCAAAGGTTCCATCTAAGCTCCTTTGGAAAACTTTGATTGCAACAGGAGATCACAAATAAAGGCTTGATTCTGTGTGCAAGAAATCTAAAAATAGATTATTTAGAACCAAGGGAAACTGTCCACAGCAGAAAAACAACAGCATCTGGGTCTACAGAGGGTGCTGTATATGCTGGCAAATTTGTGATTTGTCATACTGGGCTGTATAAATAAACTTCACTTGACATTAATCATTTGCTGCTGACATGTTTAAAACAATCCATGTTTTCCTCACAAGCGACCTCTTGTGGGGAAGTAGCATAACAGTGTTTTCTTAGGAAGGAGGTCAGAGTCTATTGCCTGGGGGGTAGCACCAAATTCTGGGCCCTATGCATAACCAGTCCCTGTGGGCCCTCCACCCTTCCTCTCTTGATCCATATCTTTCTCATGCACCATTGGATTTTCTTCCTTCTTTCTTTTCTTTTCTTTCCTTTTGCTGAGACAAATCCTGGTAGAGGGGCAGATTAAACCATTTTGGGCCTTTAATGGGTGAGAGGGGTGCTAAGAGAGCTTCCACTATTTTTTATACAAAGTTTATTTTTTCAACCAGTTCATTTAGCCACTCTGTCAATTTTCAAAGTTATGGCACAAATTGCTTAGAAATAACATGAATAAATAAATAAATAAATTGCAAACAAAACCAAACTTTTCATTCCAGGCTTTGCAAGGGCCCCCTCCCATTGGGGGCCTGGGTAATCAGTCCCCCACCCAACTACAATGCCCCTGGTGGTGGCTGGCATTCAAGTCTTCACAAGGGAGACTGTCCCTGTTTGTATCAATAATTGTAGCTTATCAATGAGAGCCGCACAGACTTTTAGTCACTCCACTCTTTAAAGAATTAGAGATTAAAAAAGTCTAATATTTGTGTTATTAATGTAAGAGGACACACTGCAGAAGTTCATGCTCCCACTTGCTTAAACATCCTTGTTTTCATCTCACAGTAGCATCAAATGACGCACCAAAACAATTGTAAGACGGCATGCTAGGTTAAACTGTAGGCTGTTGCTACTTTATGTACAGTACAGGCCAAAAGTTTGGACACACCTTCTCATTCAATGCGTTTTCTTTATTTTCATGACTATTTACATTGTAGATTCTCACTGAAGGCATCAAAACTATGAATGAACACATGTGGAGTTATGTACTTAACAAAAAAAGGTGAAATAACTGAAAACATGTTCTTCAAAATAGCCACCCTTTGCTCTGATTACTGCTTTGCACACTCTTGGCATTCTCTCAATGAGCTTCAAGAGGTAGTCACCTGAAATGGTTTTCCAACAGTCTTGAAGGAGTTCCCAGAGGTGTTTAGCACTTGCTGGCCCCTTTGCCTTCACTCTGCGGGTTCAGGTCCGGTGACTGTGGAGGCCAGGTCATCTGCCGCAGCACTCCATCACTCTCCTTCTTGGTCAGATAGCCCTTACACAGCCTGGAGGTGTGTTTGGGGTCATTGTCCTGTTGAAAAATAAATGATCGTCCAACTAAACGCAAACCGGATGGGATGGCATGTCGCTGCAGGATGCTGTGGTAGCCATGCTGGTTCAGTGTGCCTTCAATTTTGAATAAATCCCCAACAGTGTCACCAGCAAAACACCCCCACACCATCACACCTCCTCCTCCATGCTTCACAGTGGACAGTGAACCAGGCATGTGGAATCCATCCGTTCACCTTTTCTGCGTCTCACAAAGACACGGCGGTTGGAACCAAAGATCTCAAATTTGGACTCATCAGACCAAAGCACAGATTTCCACTGGTCTAATGTCCATTCCTTGTGTTTCTTGACACAAACAAATCTCTTCTGATTGTTGCCTCTCCTTAGCAGTGGTTTCGTAGCAGCTATTTGACCATGAAGGCCTGATTCGCGCAGTCTCCTCTTAACAGTTGTTCTAGAGATGGGTCTGCTGCTAGAACTCTGTGTGGCATTCATCTGGTCTCTGATCTGAGCTGCTGTTAACTTGCAATTTCTGAGGCTGGTGACTCGGATGAACTTATCCTCAGAAGCAGAGGTGACTCTTGGTCTTCCTTTCCTGGGTCGGTCCTCATGTGTGCCAGTTTCGTTGTAGCGCTTGATGGTTTTTGACTCCACTTGGGGACACATTTAAAGTTTTTGCAATTTTCCGGACTGACTGACCTTCATTTCTTAAAGTAATGATGGCCACTAGTTTTTCTTTAGTTAGCTGATTGGTTCTTGCCATAATATGAATTTTAACAGTTGTCCAATAGGGCTGTCGGCTGTGTATTAACCTGACTTCTGCACAACACAACTGATGGTCCCAACCCCATTGATAAAGCAAGAAATTCCACTAATTAACCCTGATAAGGCACACCTGTGAAGTGGAAACCATTTCAGGTGACTACCTCTTGAAGCTAATAGAGAGAATGCCAAGAGTGTGCAAAGCAGTAATCAGAGCAAAGGGTGGCTATTTTGAAGAAACTAGAATATAAAACATGTTTTCAGTTATTTCACCTTTTTTTGTTAAGTACATAACTCCGCATGTGTTCATTCATAGTTTTGATGCCTTCAGTGAGAATCTACAATGTAAATAGTCATGAAAATAAAGAAAACGCATTGAATGAGAAGGTGTGTCCAAACTTTTGGCCTGTACTGTGTATACTATTGCAAATGTGCTTTGCTGTAACTATCACAGAATCAGTAGGCTTTTAAGCACTGACCGATTTTGTTATTGAGGTATGAGGACATATTCACCAAAAGTACAGTGATATTTCTGTGACTGTTCTGCACAACCTGTTTGGAGACATTTGATGGTCATGGCTGGTAAATTGCTGAGATGGAACTAGAGGTTGTATTCCAGATGAGTTTTGGAAAACCAATCTGAGGGTAGAAATAAACGTGCTGCAGAGAGAAGTTGAAGTTACATATCAGAAGAAAAAAATAAACACTTATAAATACTATAAGTAAATAAATATAACATATTTGTAAATACTTACAAAAACCAAATTATTAATCAAAAACTCAGCAATTTATCAACACATAAAACTAAAATCAGTCCCATAAAGAAGACCACCACACAAATGACTGTCGGAGATGAGTCCTTCTCTGTGGTTACCTGGTTGGGAGGTGGATCTAGGGACAGCTGGGTTGTTGCCAGCAGCAGTAGCAGTGCTGCTAGTCATGCTCTGACGTTTCCTGACTGCAGCCATAGCACCACGCAAAGTATCTGGAGGGAAGCCAAATGCTTTATACCAACCTTTTCAGCATGATTGCCACTCAAAATCATCTACCACAACCAACATTTAAAACATGAGGGTCCTGATACATAAATGAAATTCTGTCTGTCTAGTCAGAAGGGCAGTGCAACTCTACTCATGCAGAAATCAACCAAGTCCATGGGCCCAAAACAACAAATAAATAAACAAAACAACAAACAACAAACCCCTCACCACACCGAAACTATGCTAACAGATTTCTCTTTTCAATCAATGCTCATGCATTTTGAAAAATGTCCCATCACAAATCACAACACAAGTCAACACAGCAGGCAAGAAACAGAAGTGAACAAGCACATAAATACTTGAACATGGATGGACCACACACACCATTTGCAAATAAAAATATAAATCACACAAATGAGATGTGCCTAATTCACCAAACAAAACACTAAAAATCACAACATGCTAAAAACCTGTACATTACAAACATGACTTTGGTTTACACGTGCATGTACCTTCGTAACCAAATGGAGTAGGATCACTCTTTATCTCATGTCTCTTGCTCTTTATGCTAGCAGACAGGGGACCTGGCCAGGGTGAAATAACATGCAACCAGAAGCTTAATTAGATACTAACATTTTAAAAGGAAGGCACACACACACACACGCACGCACGCACGCGCACACACACACACGCACAGACACATGCACACACACACACACACACACACACACACACGCGTGTGTGTAACACATTATCCATCCAGGCCTACACTTGGTGGAGATAATAAAAAATAAAACACAGCACAAGTATGTGTTCTAGGATAATGTCCTACACAGATTTGCAGTCAGCAATGCAGGAGTTCAGAACATTCTGCAATGACAGAATGACCTGTAACCTTTTTGTTTGTTTGTTTGTTTGTTTGTATGTGTGTGTGTGTGTGTGTGTGTGTGTGTGTGTTTGTTTCATAGATTTAACTAGTTTAAGTGGATGTAGAGGCAGTAGTACCCAACCCATCAATGATTTTATGATTTATTTGTAGCTAAATAAGTATTTATCTCCAGGTCTTAATTAACTCACTACAAATTCTCTCGACCCTAAGCAGCCATTTTCTCATCAATGTCATTAATTAGAGAATACACTTCATGCTGCCCAGATGGCTTCATATCTGAGAGTGCCAATACAGAGTGAAAAATGACAAGGCGCTGGGTTGTGACTCTCATTTAATTCCTCACATACTGTCAATAAAGCGTTTGCTGAATATTCATACAATTGACATTAATGAAAGTTGAACTCTTTCTGCTTTGTGAGGAAAAACACATTTTGAGGCTCATCTGGTGTGACTGAAGTGGCCAAATCTACAAAAAAAAAAAAAACAATGAAATTATTTTGTGAATATGTTTGTTTTATGGATGGGATTAGGAAAGGCTATGATAGAGCTAGGCAATATGGTCAAAAAAAAGCAAAAAAAAAAAAAAGCAACATTTTTAGGCTATATTGTGATACACAATATGTATTGCAATTGAAATCTCTAAAACACAAAATTATGAAATGAACTGCAGTATAATAAAGTCTCAATAAGTACTGTATTATAAAAGTTGAATTAAGCATTGTTATAATTTAATAAATTAAAGCGGAACCACTGGTGCTTTTATTTTGAAGCACTCTGCTCATCTTGGGCACAAAGTGTTGATGTTTTTGCAGTGAAATTGAAGCTTAAAGGGCCAGTGTGTAAAATGGGTTGAAAACAGTGACATCAGTGGTCAAATTCTAGATTGCAGGGCTCACTCGCTCACCCCTCCCGTCGGGTAAATGACGGTGGCCTTGTAGGGACAAAAAGCCTTGCGCAAGAGTTTTTCAGGAGTAGGTCTATCTAGCGACGAGGTTTATTTAGAAATCTAAGCCATGTTACAATATTGTAATGAATCCCTCACGAGCAGGAGACCAAAGGAGTGTTCGGGAAAAAGGCCAGTTTATTTGAGCACTCCAGAAACTCCGGTAACACTCCAGGGGGTAAAAGACTCCGTCCCAAACTCTGACTCTTCTAGCGTAACACACACACACTCCATAACTTTACACACATACTCATTTACCATACCGAGTGGGGACCCCCTCCCCTCTCTGCTCAGTCTCCAGCCCACACACTGACTGACAGCGTAGCCTGTAAACAGAGCTCAGCTGTTTATTTAGCCTAGCGATATCTCCGGACTATAATAGCTGCAATGGACGACTTTGAATGCGATTTTGAAGAGTTTCTTGTAGCGGACACAGACCCAGAGCCATACCTGTTTGAGCCAGAGCATACAGATGAGGAACTCCATGTGATTGATGATGAGCGGGCGAGAAGAGAGGCTGAATGCACAGAATGGGATTCGGTGCTACTGCTACCATCGTTGGGGAGATATATCATCAGGAGGAAACGCGCCGCAGAGACTGCATCACAAGGAGTGAAGCTGCGTCTTCTTTTCCTCGCAGATGACGGTTCGGGTTCATTCTCTCCTGTTGCGTGGTAAGTGTGGTCCATTCGCAAACTTTATAACTAAAAAAACTTTTCACTACTCTCTATCGACGAACTACTAACACTCTCTGCTGTTTCTTCCTCCTTCTTCCTTCCTTCCGCTGTCTTCGTTGGTTCATTTATACACGCGAAACGTGTTCTCTGGCTGGTTGTCCGCTCGGGCTGCCTTACATACATGGCGGCGCAAGATGGCGACCTCTCTAAAGCAAGGCCCTTGCTATATATATATATATATATATATATATATATATATATATAAAAGCATAATTATAAGGCTATGAAAACCAAACGAATTTTGTTTTATAGCGATTATACACTTGTATAAACATATTAATGGGTAGAATATTCAGATTCAGATTCAGATTGACAATAAACATTGCCAAATATTACACACTGGCCCTTTAAGCTTAGTCATTATATACATCCCATGTGGAACAAGCCACAATACATCAAGTATATTCAATATATTGCCCACGCCTAGGCTAAGCTTAGGGAAGGGAATCCCTCCATTGACACCTATGGTTTAGTGAATCTGCATGACACAAACACGTATAAAATGGTGTTGTGGCATACATGTAGCACAGTCATGCTGCTGTGTATTTTACCAATAAAGCATGATACTTTGCCCTGATATTAATGCACAAGGTGGATGACAATTAAAATCAGAGGCTAAAAAGCTACAGCCACATTTCCAACCTCACTGAGTACTTTACATTCAATGTGACCCCCGGTGTTCTTATTGGTCACACGTTATTGAAACACTGCTGACTGCATGAGGGGAAAAATGGAAATACAATGAAAGCAGAGAACAGACTGAGTAGAAATAGTTTGAGAGAGAAGTTCATTGGCTCTCTTCTGGTGTTTCTAATTCCTCCCCTACCTCTGCCTGGTTTAAAATGAACTTCTCATCTATATTCCCACAGTAAATTGCACTTCTACTGCCACTTTGAATGCCACCCTATGCTCTAAATGTCAGCTTATCAAAATTCATATTTCCTTACCATGGCTTTTTAAAAAGAATATGTATGTCCACTCATTTGTAGCTTTTTCCCCTTTAACATTGTTTTCATTCTCATCAAAGGCTTGATTTTCTCTATGCATCTCATACATTTCAAGAGAGCAGTAAATACGAGGGAGGTAAGAAAATTGTGTTGTTGTTTTTATGATATATTATATTTAGACACAATTTTCACATTTTCAAAAATGCACTTTATTAATCATTATTTCCAAAATGTGTTTCTGAAACTTATTTGTCATTTAATTTAATCATTTTGAGTGTTTGTCAATTTTATCTCTGAGTTATTTTTATTTACTGTCATTTTATTATTATTTTTCTTTAAACTACCTCCCTGCATTCTGCCTCTTCCATACCTCCTTTGCTTCTGTAGCCCCTCCCTGCTACCACTCACAGTGCGATATCGCATTGCTGAGGGTAAGTTTTGTGTAGAATGCTGCCACTATATTATACTGTTTTCTTTGGAATATGAGCCATTTGGGTTGTAACCTTTGATAAACAGTGTTTAAAGTTGAAGATCAATCATTTTTGTGATGTTTTTCCCCACTTATTTAAGTTTTAGAGACGTTTTTAATTGATACCACTCTACTTAATTTGCCGAGATTTGCATTATGGCAGTCCCTCCATGTCATGTGACCAAAGCAGCGAAGCTTGTAATCCCTTTTGTAAACATAATTATTTTGCATGTTTTAGGGCAGAAGTGCAGATGGGCCTTTAAAAAAGCCTTTAAAAATGTATGTCTTCTGAAGGTATGGGTTTTCCTTTGTTAAATTAGAAATTTTGTTGATTCTGTTAAGCCACTCCACCGCAAGCACTGTTGTATTTCAGTCACAGGGTGGCATTGTTTTCCTTTTTGAATGTAGTTTTTCATGATTTTTAGGATATATACTACTGAAATATGCTGTTTGTTAAATGTTTTCTGGTAAAATTTAATAGCTCTTGACAGAGTAATATGTTTAATGATTTGAAAATGTAATGTAATGTTAAGATGATGTATTCATATGCATTTGGGGAAAAACATGTAAATCACAGTGCTGTTCCGCATTGCTGAGGGGGCAGAAGTGTAGATGGGAGAGTCCAGAAGGCTTTTAAAATGTTTTATGTCTTCCATTATGCCTATCCACGACACCTGTTACATACTCTATACATCATTTGTTAGCATTTATCCTACTTACATTGTATAAACCTTATCCTACACGTATGTAAATTATGTGTGTATGTGTTGTCTTTAAAGTCTAACCGAAATCACAATAAGTCAGAAATCACATCAGAGTGACTTATAAATGGATTTCAATGTACAGCAGTTTGCCCTTAAATACGACCATTCTGACTCCCCTGGTCTGCATAACACAAAGAAACAAAAGCCACCAGCTCATTCTCACTCTGAACTCATCAAATAGTGCCTCTTTGTCTGTGATTTCTGAGTCACATACTAACACGCAGAGGCAACTTTTGTGGCAGTATAATGACACGCACCAGACGGCCCCATTTCCACCAAACTCTTTCAATATAGTACCTATGAAACCAAACATAACCCTTCAAACATAGTACCTAGACCTCAGACCCACGTCTAGCATTTCCACCGCAAACAGTACTCTTAAACGTCGGTGGGTCGTTGTAACTCACTGGTCCATCCAGCATTTGCTGTATTTCCACATCACTCGTGACACAGAGGGAAGATTGCACCTCGTTTATTATCCACGTAACAAGGTTGCTCACCAATATTTTCAGAATAAAACCGATCAGTCAAGAATTAGAGTCTCTCTTGATGGGATATTTAAAAATTGTGGGTCTGTGAATTCAGTCCTTCTCAGGCAAGCGCAGGGGTTTAGTTTGCCTGAGCCCACAGGAATGACACTCTGTGACACTTTTTTTTTTGTAGTGAAGATTAAAATATATGTAGTTAACATAATCCAGTCAAAAATTAATATATTTTATTATATATTATAATTTTAAACACTTGAAGTTCCAATCATTACTAAAATTGTATGTCATCCAAGAAAGACATTGAAAACGAATGGAATGGTTAAAGTTGTCATATTGAAATTTAAGGCATGTTAATGCATACACGTTGTCAACTGAGAAACATGACAAGTAAACGTTCCACCTTAAAAGTTGCCAGCAGACGGCTCAGTGACTTACTTCTTTCTCAAACTAATGTACAGCTGCTGCTAGAGGCAGCAAAACATCCTTTCATTTTATAGTAATAGTTTATTAATGTGTGCAAAACTTGCCACAGTATGAACAGTGGTGACAAAGGTTTCAAAACCAGCCAAAACTCAGCCCTGGATAAGAGTGACCATCCTGTACTGACCAATCAGCAGACTAGTGTTTTTAGTTCCACCTTTTAGTACCAGATCTGTGTGCTAGGTACCCCAACAGAGGGGTGACCAAAAATAGGGACAGTAAGGAATGGTTTCATTGGTATCATCCACAACTTCTCACAGTGGAAACGGAAAAATACATACTGAACTGAACGGAACAGTATAGGACTGCTTGATGGAAACGGACCTAAACAAACTCTGGCCTTTCAACCGGGAGTCCACTATTGGTTTCCCATGTGAAAATGAAAGTCAGTGGAGTTATTCTAATGACAACATACTATGCTAGTATGTGTAGCATGCTACATTAGTAACGTAAATAGGTCATGTGAAGTGACATTACGTTGGTAGAACTGTTTGGTAGAAAGCATTTTGAGTCACTATATCTTAATGAAAAATGTGTTGAACTCAACCTGATTGAGCTATCTCTACCATACCACATTCATTAGTGTGATGTGTGTATGTAAGAGTAGTGAATGTTAACAGAATAGAAAATGACATTTGAGTGTAACAGCAGTAAAATAATAATTAAAAAAATAGAGAGAACTTTAAAGGTGAAAAGACTTTGGACAGTTAATCTGGTACCTTTAGTGCGCCGTGTAGCGAAAGAGGAGGAGGAAGAGGAGGCAAGAGAGGAGGTGAGAGAGAAGCGGCGGGTGACCTCTGCCTCCTTAGCAGCAGGCTCTATAGACGGAGAGGGTCATGGATTAGGAGGAGACGTGGAGAGACGGACCAGGAAGGACAGACAGAAAGAGCAAAATGGAGTAAAGAGAGGGAAAGGTAAAAGAAATGAAGAAGCAGAGGAGGATGGACAGAGAGATGGAGTGTTACAGAGGGTTTAAATGAATGAAATAACAAGGTGACAGTGTGAAAGAGATGAAAACAAGGGAAGAGGTTACTGGTTTCAGCATTCTTAACACCCCATTTCTAGACATCCATCTTCACATAAAAAAAGACTTTTAACCTCTCCATAAAATCGTAAATACTACCAATGCAACTACTTCTTTATAATAATGATAATAATAATAACAACAACAACAACAACAACAACAGTTCATGCAAATGGAAGGAGGAAGCAGAAATGCATGAAATGATGTAAGAAAAAAAATAATTTTAACAAGAGTTTTAACCTCATCTCAGGGTCACTGAAAAGGCCTGTCTTCAATTCCAGCAAAATTGTGCAGAAAAAGAATTGTGGGTACTTCATTCCCACTGAGGATACACACATACATCCCTGAAAATTATGTAAAGGAAAGAACTGGTCCTCTGTAGAATTCAAAGGATCCTTTACATAGGAACAGTCCTTTGATGGGACTGGATGACGTAGCCTCCTTGAAATTCAGGTGTTCAAGGATCCTTCCTTGACTTGACTTATTTTAAAGGAAATTGTCCATTAATTGACAGGCCTGCTACCTACTGACTTCAATATAAATGAGCAGCTGTAAAGCTGCAGGTTGAACACCACCTCCTTCTCACTCCGGAGCTGGAATGCTGTGTTAACTTAAAGAAACAGCCAACCATGGACACAGGACAGAACAGACAGAGTGGCCCTTCATTCCAGCGTTATTTCTTCAGTGATCTAACATGTTGGGCTCATTGAGTGGACATATGCAGCAGCGAAGCACAGGAAGCTGCAGAGAACACTGCTGTTAATGATGATCTATTCAAATGGAGGACTCCTGCCATCGACTCACCATCGATTTCCATTTCATGGAGCAGACAGCACAGTCATTGTTCAAAGAGGTGCTGAGGAGTGTGTAGCTATTGTACTTTCTGTACAAGGACCTAGAGATGAGTTCATACTTTGGATTTGGGTTTAGGGTTAGGATTCAGTTAAAGAAATTTGCAATGCCTGAGCTCTGGTCATTGACACAGCCAAACTCCACCAATACATGATGCTGTCAGGAATTCATTCTTAAAGAAACAAAAGCAAACTCTTTTTCAAGAAGATCCCTGTAATATAAAAGAGGAGGCTGGTACTGTAAATTGCCAGGATGCCATGTACTTCCAAAATCTTTCCAAAATCTTGGATCACAGCCTCCACTGTTCTGGACTTTATACCAGGCATTGTACCTGCTGCAGGGTTTTGCTCCATTCAGCCACAAGGGCATTGGTGAGGTCCAACAGAAATGTTAGGTGATAAGACCTGGCTCACAGTTGGTGCTCCAGTTCATCCAAAAAGTGTTGGATAGGCTTGAGGTCAGGGCTCTGCACAGGCCCGTTGAGTTCTTCCTACTGAAATTGTAAAAACTAGGGATACATACTTTTGGCCATGATGTCTGCCTCCTTTATATTTACATTAATTCCATCTGTACAACAACAGAGTCATGTCATACTCACCAATTTGCTGCTCTGAGTTTTACTTTTACAAGATAAATGTTGTTCTTATTCTTAGATGTGGTGTTACACTAAAGTCAAACTCAACCATTCTGCAGATGTCATGTTAAACACCCTCCAAAAGAAATTATGCCCTCTGAGCAGGTAGGAAGCTTTTAATGTGAAACATAAGTGCAGGAAGTATCGTGTTTATTTAATAGCAGCTTATCAGCAAACAAAAAAAGACAACTGACTGCAATACATTTGTGGATGAAAACGTTATTTCTTTTCATTTACAGGCTATTTTTTAGCATTATGCCTTTATTCGACCCCCTGAAATGGGGAATCAGAAATGAACTGTTGCCTTCTCTGTCATCTGTTATACCTGAAATGGAAGCCGACCCAGTACATGCAGCCACACACTGAGTCTGAGTCAGTTATAAGCTTTTATATGAATATTCACTATCGCTATGATATAATATAAAATAAAATCTATAATTATAAATATATGTAGACTTTAGGTTGGTATATATTATGGATGTGTAAATTAAATATTCCAACCTCAGCTGGATTTCAGTTGTCTACTGCAATGCTGTTGACCTCAACAATGATTTCTTTCCAATACTGTGTTTCCAACTTCTTTTGATGCCACTTTTCAGGCTGTCGAATACCATTTGGTTAAATTGGACCTGGGACGTCAGCGTTTCCATTTCTAGCTCAGAGAAGTTTCTTTTCTTGGCCATATTATGTCTCTCCATGTCGTAAACTCTCAGAGTGAGGCCTCTAAACCCAGAATACATTGGACTGGGATATGTAAATGATGAATGTTTTCAGCTGCCACATTTATCAACGCCCAATCATTCCTACGCTGTGATTTATGAGATATGAATGTTTCATGAATATCATGCAAAGGCTATCACGAGATGACTTCTAAACTTGGATCTGCTCTGGTTTGTTTGTTAGATTGATAAATGAGGGCTACTATTTATAGAGAAACCCAGATCAACACAGAATGACATAACTCTGCTGTTATACTGATAAAATTAGTGGTGTGGAAATGTACTCTAGAGCAAATTTATTAAGACAATAAACACACATGAAGGAAGTGCTGAATTTGCATTAACAGGAAACAGCAGAAACAACTAATTAAAACAGGAACAGATAAGAGGCTTCTTACTGATATATGACCAAATATATCCATAACACAGGAAATCAGTTACAAAGGCCTTTTTTTTAAAAATAAGTCTGATCACAATAATGGCCTGGTTCTCTCTGCATTTAAAGGTAAATCAAGGCTACAACTGGACATTTTCTAGCAAATTTTCATTTGTAGTTGGAGGAACACATTTCTACACAGTATCATCTTCCCGTCTCATTAGGGACATGTGTGGCCCAAAGACTGGCCAAACTGCTGCAACGTGGAAAGCAGAACTTGGAATCAAGGCCCGTACTCCTCTAAAAATGTTAATACGCTTCCAAATATCAAGAGGGCTTGAATATTAGAGGGTGACATTTAGCACAGAGCTGCGCCGCAGAATTTAGCCTTGCTGTGGTGTCACCACTGCCGGGACTCAGACAGGTTCTCTCTCTTTCTGTCTATCTCCTGCTGTCTTCCTGTCTTCAAATGCTGTCTCTTTAAGAGCACTAGTACCTTTCTTTCCTGAATCACAGTTTTCTTGTAGTACGGGCAGATGCAGAGGATACTGACATGAACAGATAAAAGCAGATGAAAGGGAGTAAAGCCATATGTGGCCCTTATTATGATGACACACTGCAGGTGCTGGGATGCATCAACCAGATACACACCAACACAGAAATTTATATAACATTTGACTTCAAAAGAAGAAAAAAAGCAGCTGTTATGTGAGTGGAAAGTGGAGACTGAAGGACAGAAGCAGGGTAGATGCTGTGGCTGTTCACGATGATGATGATTATCATTATGATGAAGATGATGATGACAGGCAGATGAAGAGAAAAAAGAACAGGCGACGAGGGCAATGGTGTTGACAAAGATGCCAGCGATGGTGATGATCAAGTTAAGTGACGCGTTGTGCTATTACCTGCTGGAAGAGACCTCCTGTTGGAAAGTCCCTGCAAGGTGAAGCGTTTCCTAGCATTAGCAGCCGAGTGGCCTGATTGGCTGGCTGAAGCATCAACTGAGAGGAAAAGCAAGAAGGAGCAAGGCTTAGTACAGCAGGGAAAGAAGAAGAGAGGGTCTTGAGCGTTGTTGGAAAGGGTTCTACATTGGTGTCAATGATACATGAGTTTCAGTACTGATGCTAAAACCGTACTTTTTTTAAAAAACCCTAGTTTGTATGTTTCGTTGCATCAGTGATAACTTTGGCTAAATAAAATTTAGGGCTAACAAAGATGACATACAATTTTAATTATATATTTTTTCTTATCAGTCCATATTGATACACAAATTTCACAAAAAAAATCGGTCAGTATCAGTAGTCAGTATTTCTGTTGACCTTAATGATTTGGTTAAGCTTAAAACTCTCCATTAGCAGTAGTAGTAGATTTAGAGCATGAAGTTATGAGCTGCAAAGAAAAAACTAAAACAATAAATATGTATACAAAAAAAGAAAAAGAAAATCCTTCTTATCAGTAAAGATCATTGTAAATTTCTTATGCCCAGGCCACACTGCCTGCATGAGCAGTGCATTACAGCTACCTTACTGAACTGGGGTCCGTTTCACAAAGCAGGTTCAACAAACTCTGAGTCTAATCCTGAACTCTGGGTTGATCTACTCTGAGATAGGAAACTCTGAGTTTCCGGTTCCAGAACAGCTGATTTGAATCAGTTTAATCAACTCGGAGTAGTTTCACCTGGAGTCAAGCGCGTGCACCACAACTATAAAAAGCCAGCATCAACGGAGCCCCGATTTGATGAGTCACCATGGCAACAGGGAAGAGGAGGGCTGCGTTTTTCACCCCACTAGAATTAGAAATCTTAATGCGCTCATACGGCGAGTTTGCACACGTTTTCAAAAAGAAGTGCAACACCGCTGCAGCTGCAAAAGAGAGGGAGATGGCGTGGGAGAACATTGCTGCTCGGGTCAGTGCGTAAGTTTAAATGTAGTCCTTTGCAAGCACAATAATATTACAGGGGAAAACTGCTTGAATGGTAGCCTATTAATTTATTTCATTTAGGTGCAATCCCGCGGGGGAGAAGCGCACTTGGCAGCAGTTTAGGATGAAATATAAAAACATTGTTCAAACAGGTAAGACCTCGGCATAATCTCATGGGGGTACCTCATTTTGATCATGTTTTACATTGTAAAGTAAATATTAAGTGGCTGTTTGACTGTGCAGTTGTTTTATCGCCAACATAATGCTGTTTTCACACACATAAATGTCTTCTCATCTATATCATGTTCTGTTAAATAATTAAGCCTATTTAAACTAACACAGACTTCTACTCAGCCAACAGAAAGAAGGCAGATGCCCGTAAAACGAGCACACTTTTCTGACCGCCCTGCATACAGCTGCCTTACTCAAGTGCTCAGCATCTCCGACATTGTACAAAAAACTTCCATTTGCAAAGAAACGCAGCGCAACACATAATATCTGCTGGGATGTGAGAGCATGACTACGATTGGTAATCTTGCAAATGTAAGGACGGATTAGGTTGTGTATGTAGATGATGGACTGTGACGTGAAACGGTACAGCTCAAAAAGGAAATTGTGTGGAAATGCTAAAACATCTATGCGCGGTCTATAACCATCTCCCGACGAATAGGCTATTTAATTCTCTGCGCAGTAATGCTGAATCCACGGGATCGTTATCAAAAGGACATGCCATGTTAGTGAAAAAAGTCGCCACCTACTGTGCCTAATGGACTTCTAATATACTGACTCTGATTTTTTAAAAATAATTTTTTTAAAAAAAAAAAGACAGAAAAAAAAAACAACAAAAAAAAACAACTAACTGAATGAATGAGGAAATCAAATGGAGTGTGTGGCTCTGAAAGAGGGCGGAGACAGAGAGAAACTCAAGGTTCATTGAGGAAAAACCTGGTCCCGACCAGGTTAGGTTCATAGAGTCTGTTACTACGGTAACTGACCGAGAGCTTAAGTTACCTCTCTCTCTGAAACAGGCTAGAGTTACTCCTCTTTCTCTGGTTTGAGTTACCTCCCTTTTTGAAACGGAAAACTCAGATTTTCCCTCATTTCAGGGTTAACAGACTCAGAGGTTTCACTAAACCTTGTGAAACGGACCCCTGCTGCAGCTCACATGCGTGCAGACAGTGTTGCTGCTGTGAAGCTGCCTGCTGCTGTATTGACTGTATTTTCACAATTAAAAGCCAATACTTCTCTCATTTCTGGAGCTGTACAAGCCACTCCATTGTCAACAAGACCATGAAAACAACATTTCAAAATAAAAGCCTGATAACGACAAATTAAGGGATTCTGTCCACAAAAACATTGTCAGAGGGCTATATTTTAAAACGAAGACATGTCTTTCATGTCTTTGACAGATAGACATTTAAACTGTAGTAAAATGTGGTATGATGTCAACATGATCATCAAAAGACCATTTTCAAAGACCATTTTTGCTGACACCGTGCACTTCACGCAGAGAAAAATGTCACGCCTCCCATTCCCTTGATGTTTTGCAGCTAAGCAGCAGCTAAGCCGTGACTGACTCTGCTCATGGAGACAGAGTGGCCCGGATGTTAGTGTAAATGTTTATAGCCAGGGAATTTCAGTAACTTCAGGTCAGTAAGTTCATCAGTTAAAATTTTTGACTGCATATTGTGTGATATGTTTAACCACTGCAAATAGCATTTTTTTTAATGTTGCAGGAATCTTTCTGCCTTGCTCTTTGTTGCAGTGTATGGGTCTAATTACTGGTGTTTGAAATTGTGCATGTTCACTCTGTATGCCTTATTGGGTGATGATCAAAATGACAGTCTCTGAGGCTGAAAAATGAAGCCAATACAGAAGGGCAAAAAACTACAGTTCATCAAACGGCCACTTGAGGCTAGCGCCAGAGGCTAAAAATCCCCATAGACCTCCACCTTAAAATGCCCAACTTTACAGCAGAAATAAACATGTTTACAGTCTGGTACATAAAAACAATGTTGGCCTCTATAGCTAATATCAACATTCATGATACTGTATGGGCTACATTTTTTATAAAACTCACCTGTTTACATTTTATTAAAGGGATAGTTCGACATTTTGGCAAATTCGACTATTGCTGTAATCCCTATAGTCATATGGGGAGGTACATTACCTTTAATTGTCAGTGCCTGCTGTTCTGAGATCGGTGGAGCAGAGCTGCCCGCTGCTTACCGCACAGAATGGAAGTGAATGGTACAGCCCCTTCTCTCCCTCAAAACTAATCAAATACACCATCAAATGACTCCAAAACGCTCTTGTGGACAATTTGTAGCTTACACATTCACCACGCTATGAAATAATAATGTAATATTACGAGACAGAGTTGTTTTGAAGCCAAATGCACAGCCGGAACTACATTCCAGACATACAGTACTTGCTGGGCGGAGTGATTTCAAACAGCGTATGTTTAGTGCAGTTACTCCTGTCAACAAAACAACAAGTTTGTTGGGAAGAAGCCAGAATATACAGAGGAAGAGTTACAGGTTTTGGAAGAAGAGAGAGCAAGAAGAGAGGTTGAGGCTGCCGAGCAACCAGGGGCTGAGGGGAGACCCAGAGCCGGTGGTGTAAATGTGGGGCTTACTGGCCACTTTATTAGGTACACCTGTGCAATATAAATATAGAGTACGCCTCAAAATAATCACCGGAACACGGGGAGAACATGCTAACTCCACACTCATAAATCACCACAACTCCTGAAGGAACAACAACATAAAATGTTCCCTAGCAGTCTGTTTATTCCCAACAATGAGAAGTAATGCCAGTCACTTCACTATATGCTCTGGGCAAGCACTTATCCATAACATAACCACAACAACATTTGCATTTTAGCCTTATTTACCATGCTTGGGTTGTAGGCTAATGTTACTCAACATGGAGGTAACGTTACAGCAGAGAGATTGCTGAGCAAAATACACAACGATCACTTACCACGTCTGCTCGTTTTGTGATGCCGACAGATGGTATGGCAGTATCTTTCAAGAAAAGCGTTTGAACCATTCCTGAGCTTCTGCGCTCCATCCTTTCAGTGTAGTCCTCCGGTAAAAAATGGTTGGAGCAAACAAACATTTTCCGGACCGTTTCCACAGGTGTGTTGGGATCGATGTCCAGCACAAATAGCCATTGTTTCATCCTGTCCGTATTACTGGTTGGAACTACGTGAAACTTCACTCTGCTCCATGTCTTCGGCTTGTTACCGCAACCTTTTACAATGCATGTGTAAACCATGATTTACAAAAACACTTGTAAACTTTCCTCAATCCTTCTGGTGTGTCCAGCTGACGATACCGCAAATGGCTACAAGCAATAACAACGGCACTGTCTCAGCTGCGCACTGTGTCACTCCACCCAGTAGTTTACTCAAGAAAGTAGTTCCGAGTATTTGCTTCATGTGTTGTAATGTTACTTAATTATACATTATTATTTCATACCATGGGGAATGCACAAGCCATATGTTTTCCACTAGAGCATTTTGGAGTCATTTGATGGTGTATTTGATTAGTTTTGAGGGAGAGAAGGGGCTGTACCATTCACCTCCATTTCAGTGGCCAGCTCTGCTCCACCGATCTCAGAACTGCAGGCACTGACAATTAAAGGTAACGTACCTACCCATATGACTATAGGGATTACGGCAATAGGCGAATTTGCCAAAATGTTGAACTGTCCCTTTAAGGCTTAAAGTTATGCATAGTTAACGATGGGGCAGATTGAGTGACAGGCTGTCTGTGAGGCGTCACCACAGTCTAAAGCCTCGTTTCCACCTCGCAGTATGGTACAGTACAGTTCAGTTTGGTACGTCTTTTTTCCGTTTCCACTGCAAACAGTTGTGGATGGTACCAACGGAACTGTTCCTAACCATTATCATTATAGGTAGCCCCTAGCCTTCTGTTGGGATACCTAGCACACAGATCTGGTACTAAAAGGTGGAGCTGTGAACACTGCAGTCTGTTGACTGGTCAGTAGCGGACGGTCACTTTGCTCAGGGCTGAGTTGTGGCTGGTTTTGAGGCGGAAACCGCTGTTCATAT